TTTTTACAGTTACATCCACTCGGGCGGTGTTCTTCGGCTATTTATTCCATCGATAAAAGCACAGTTCATCTCTGCCTTCTTTTATTTATTGTTGTTCATGTTAACATTCAATACTCTCCGACTTTCATTTTTATGCGTGCACCAATCCTTCCGGTTAATTGCATAAAGCAAATTGAACTTTTTCGTGGTTGTAAAACATATTGCATTGGAAATTCCTTGTCTCAGGTGGAAAGTAAAAGCTGAAATATTGTTTCAAGTCAAGTAATAAACGATAAGCTTATATATCCACTTCATGCATTTAAAATATATATATATATGGATCTTTACAGAAACCCGTAGCAAAATATTAATGAGAAATGCAGACATATGCATTATACAGAATGACGGGTCATAAAGGTCAATGGACCTTTGACGTGTGTGTGTCAACAAAGACTTTATATTATAGTACAACAACGTAGTTTACATAATTATTTTGCAATAAATTATTGTTGACGTACATATTTGGCACTCGTTGCGCAACACTTTTCTTCTCGTTGACAGAATTTTGGGTTCCTGGTTAATGATCGTATCCGTATTAATCATGTATCTTATGATTCATAACTTTCACTTAGGTGTAAGTAGGAAGTAGTATCTATTTTATTAACCCACCGCAGAGGGATTTTCTTTTGCGTCATGATTGCATAATCGTCATTGTACCATTACGACTGTTAATAACCATATTGATGAATAACATTTATTTGGAATAACAAAAAATATGTTATTCCAGGAGAATTATTAGCATTAGGTCAGTGACCTTTTACCAAAATTAACATTGATCTTGTTTACACAAGCTACCAGCGATAACAGTTACTTAAATTACATTTTTTTAATGCATTTTCTTTATTGAATAAAATCAATTCAACATACGTTATTGACCTTGAATGATTACTGTTGATCCATTACAAGTCGATAATCAATTACAAAATAAATTACTTTTATTTGAACAAAAAACTTGAATTTATAAAAAAAACTACAGTTTCTTAATATATGTCAAAACGTAACGAAGGGTTAAAGTACATACACTTAATAAGTGTAATTATTATCTTTCGTTTCAAATGTTGAATTCATATCAATCAATCAATTTTGTATGTACAATACCGGTATGTCTAGAACGAACTACGACTAACACCTTTTTTTCATTTGCAATGTTATACACAAATATTATATAAGTATGCATTGAGAAAGATTATGTGACAGTGAAATGCATACATAACCGTTGCAATTTTTAAGAATGTTAATGCGATTATTGAAAGTTGAAAAAATGTTCACTACTTTTACTTATTGCATATATAATTAATTCGAACGGATTTGTATGATCAAGTGCTAAATAAAGAGTGTATTTTTAATCAGATAATTGATATTTTTTAAGTTAGGAAACGTTTGTCAAGGAAAATACTTGAAGGGGTGATCTAACTATTAATAGTTGAACGGTGATCATAATATACAGTGGAACCTCGCATAACGAGCATTTCGCTAAATGAACAAAATGAATTGTAAGAAAAATGACTCGCTTAACGAGCGAAGTTTTGCATAACGAGTTACGATGAGAAGAGCAGTCCCGGATTGCGCGCTTGCTACATCATTTTTAAATCTTGTGTACAAATTTTATGTGTATTTTTTAATATGTTTCACTATACGAACGGATTAAACTCGTTAAGCGAGGTTTCACTGTATATTGGTTAAACTCTTGATCGATGATTAGTTGAAAAGGAAACAACTTCTAAACAAATACCGGTAATAAAATGATCAATTACATATGTTATCATTATTGTTTTGTTTTTCGTAGTACAACGATCTGATTATATATTATTAAATGTTTGCTATCTTGAGGCAACATCTTTGGATCGAAATTATTTAACTAAACATACGTTTGATAGAAATGAACATTCATCCAATTATAATAAGCCCGATGCAAAGTAAACTAATATTAATGATTTATAGTAGCTATCAATTGTAATTTTGAAGTCCATCAATTTAAATTTAAAAGTATAAAAAATAAATTAATATAATTATGGTATTACTAAAAATAACATTTACAACAAAAAGTAAAGTAAAAGTAAAGGACTGAATCTCATTGACTATTTTGGTAAACTTATAATTATTATCTGCAAATTAGTATTAGTATTAGCATTCAGTAAATTAATTGCAAATATCGACTGAAAATTTACAATTTTTTTGGCTTTTCTTTTATAGTTATGAAGGACACTATTTTTTTAATAATTTAAACTATAAGACTCGAAATACAACACATATACTTCACGTCATACGTCATACTTCAGTTAACGATACCTCTGATAGCGAAGATTCGATAATAAAGTTATCCAGATGTCTCAATCAAATATGTATTTGGTTTAGTGCTCTTCGTCAAGTTCTAAAGAAATTTTATATAAAATCTACAATCCTCACTAAGACTCATTTTCAATTTACATTTCTCACAAAAAGAAATCATACAAATGTATTATAATTCTATTATGTAATGTCCATTACTGATAAATTGTAAATAAAAAAAAATAAGCAAATTTTATACAATAGGTTTTTTATAAAAAGAAATTGTTCTACGATTTACAAATACAAAATGAAATTGTGCTTGCAATAATAGAGAGAAATCCACGGATGAAACAAAATCTTTTTTTTTATAATTTTTATTTTCTTGATTCCATGGTATTATGAAATTTCCCATAAGTATACACATTCACCAAAATTACTTTCGTTTACTCTTCTCACTAACCTTTAACATTATTTCCTTACTTTCTCAACCCAGTTCCTATTATTTTAATTAATTACAATTTTAGATTAGTTTTTTTTTCTTCTAAGTTTAAATCTCATATTGAAATAAGGTTATTAATTTCAATCTATGAGACATATAATCTCTTTTTTTTTTACATTCAATATCATTAATGGAAATGTAACATTTCCGAATAAAAGTCAGACGAGAAAGTTGTTTTGGCGCCGTTATTATTTATTTATTATCGAATGTCTTGTTTATCATTAAATTGCAATATATCTGCCTAGATAACGTAATATTTTAGAAAAGAAAATGTGTTTATATGAATAATAATAATAACAATATTATTGGTGTTAATTTAAATAGAAAATAATTGAATCAATTATATGGTATAGTGGAATGTATGTGTTAGGTGAATGTTTATGTAGCGAAGAGCGAAAGTAGAGTAGAGTGGTTCTGAAGTACCATACCTGTTAGTACTCATATACCTACAATTTACCAGTTATAGTTAGAGTCGATAGATAGCGAACATCTTCTTACTGTTAAATTATTAGTTAAGTAACTATTAGAACAGATACAAATTTGACAAATAGTACCCCTTTATTTCTTAATACTAAGTTCTTATTTCACATTTGTCATGAACTTCTTAAGCTAAGAATGTACATATTTATGCATTGAAATTCATTTATTTCTAACATATTTTCTCTCAAATAAATAATTTAACTTATAAAAATCAAATACCAATTTAATTAAAACCAACAGTTGTATACAGGATGGATTAAGAATACTTTAAACAACAAGAAAATGTCTTGGTTTGAGTACCCCTAAAACCTGGGATAATAGATAATCCGCCAATAATAATTTTTAAGTATATTTACCAGGAACTTATTTTTTAATCTAATCAAGATTTAAAATCATTTGGTATAGTAAAATAACGATCACGACTATTACAATCATTTTATTAGTCCAAGATCCGTTAACCATTTAACATATATATATTTTATATACCCATTGACCTTGTACTCTATCGGTTTATTTGATGAATTCAATTGTTCTACTTCTACGGACTTTTATCTCAGATTAAAATACAACTCATCGTGATTATATTAGCTTTAAAGCAAAAACCAATCCATTACGTTGTGTTTTCTCAATATTAACTGTCTTCGTACTCCAACTGGGAGTCAATTAATAGTGATAGATGGTGATTTAATGTTATTTGAAATTACATTTAAAAAAAAGCAAATAATTGCGTAATCATACAATTTTATATTAAAACCAATTGAAGGTCACGTAAAACGTGTATCTATTCATCTGGGGTGCCAGTTTATCTGATTCCGGAATGCCTTTCAATGAACAACATGCATTTTCAATGCATAACTTTCCATCCGGTTTAAAGTAAAAAAATAATGATTCATGGAAATATTCGTAAATATATATGCATATTTATCAGAATATATAAAAGGAGTATAAGAAAATTGAATACAATTAACATTCCGAATATCTACAAAATATCAACAATAAATATAAAATGTTGCTTAATTTCCTTATAAAAATGGATTAAATTTATTATTTAAAATACAAGTATAAATTTTGTATACCTAAAGCTTGTTTCTTTATTTGAATTCGATGTAATTTGATTCGATTTTATTTATAAATATTAATGCTTGCATATATGAATATGCTACGAAATACAATACTTTAGAAATGAAAGAAAAATAACGTCGTATTGTTCCTTGAGACGAATTTACATATAATGATCAAATTTAAATTTCAATCAGTTTAATAATTTTAGAAAAAGTAAAGACGTATATTAAATCTCCATCAAGAATTGTTAATTTTCATGATATTAAATTATTTTGTTTGTAACATATGTATTGTTATTGCGTTTTAATAACAAACTTGGCTGGAAATTTGTATTTTTATTTAGAATTGTTACAGTCAAGTTACAGTTTTGAATTCTACAAATATGCAATTTATTAGTTAAAATTTTTATAAAATAATATAATATAATTTACAAGAATGAGTTGTTTCTTCTTTAAAGTATGAATACGCGCGTTACGTTGTGTGAACAGGAGAACAAGTAAAGAGTGAATGGGTACTACCAACAGGCGAAGAAGCAGCGCTGTGTTTGGGTACCACGAAAGTGGGTATATGGTACTGATGGTATGGTATCGTGTGGGTACCTGGGTACCAGAGTAATAGGAGAGCATAGCATGAGTGTTGGTGTGTGTTGCAGAGCGGTTACCTTGGCGGCCTGCGCTCGAGCTTGGGCGGGTGGACACAGAAAGTCAAGTCTTGGTACTGGGGCAGACCACTCGTAAGTTGACTAAGTACCGTAGCCCCAAGCACTGTCCGCATGGCCCTTTTTAGTTGGGCAACACGTCTCTCTTAATTATTTACATTATTATTTTATTTTATTTATCGATTAATAATACTTTGTCTTGCAGTCAGAATACTAACGTTTATTTTTTCTTTAAAACACATTGTATAACTATATAAAGGTACCACCGCCATTGAACATCAACGAAAAGTCTAGTAAACGTCTTTGGAATAAGTACAATATTTTCAACTCAAATACAACTATTGAGAGCATTTCAAAGAAAGTATTTTCAATAATAAAAATCATAGACTTCAAAATTCCTTGACATTTCTATTTTTTTAATTTTATTAATACATTAATATTACGCCAATATTAATTTAAAAAACAGTAATTTAATCTAATTTCAATGCTATTGGAGTGTTTATTACCCCACGGTAATATACGAAGGTTAATATACATAATTTCATCTCATTACATCTTTGTAATTTCTTATATAAATATTTCTTATAATAAATCAATATTAATAAGCTTAATACAGAATAGGTTTAGAATTCAGTATTGTTGTTTTTTGAGAAATTGTGTTCTTTATTAATTAGTAACATATTTCAAATAGTTATCAATTTATCTCATTACATCTTTTAATGTTTTTTAAGTTTTATCTCTGAAATATTCCTTATAATAAATCAATACTAATAAGCTTAATATAGAATAGGTTTAGAATTCTCTCAAAGTATTGTTGTTTTTTTGTTAATTAGTAACAGATTTCAAATAGTTTTAGTAAAAGTGATTGAACATCGTTTTCGCAACGTTCGATAGTTTTGTAATAAGTAATTATAGCCTCGTTATGCAATTTTCATTTCGAGCAGATACGTTACTCAAATGGAAAGCATTTTTTCAAAATTAATTTAATATGTTTCTTTGTATCTTCTTAGTTATATCTTACATAACTTTGTTTTTTTTGTATAGAAAATATCAGTTTATATTTGTAATAAATATTGATGTTTTTGATTAGTTTAGTATTACAAAAGACGATGAATATATGATTGAAATTCATATAAGTAGTATATCTTGTACTTTTGCGTGATTAAGAACTCGTGTACAATGCGCATCTAGCGCGGAAGTTTATTTCTTTGTTTTGATTCATAAGGCAAGGTTAAAAGGATGTTCTCATCAATTCTCGATAAATAAATCTTTAAAAAATCGTGCTACTTCCTATATAGTTTCATCGACTTGCGTCTTATACACCGAAAATTGCTAAATTATTTATTTGTATACTATATTCCACTCAGTTTACTATACTTTAGGCGTCTCAACATTTATATAGCTATATATCACAGTTACATAATAAGTACTAGCTAACTTGAAGTGCATCTATATCCGTATAATCACGATTAATTGGGCGCCATACATCAAATAAATTGTAGATTGTGCGACTTGTATGCAAAACAGTTTGCCGGCAAGAATATGCACCTTGATTTATGAAACGAAGCGTCGTCCACTTGGAAACCAATTTCGCATCGTTTTTCGCCCGTCGCATTTTCATTTAACTTCTCCCATCCACGTCGATTACACCATTATCCACCCACGAACCTTCGAAATTATATGTAAATACTTCCACCCCCTCTTTAGAGCACTCTAGTTAAACTAGTCTTATAGATAAGCTGAGTAGTTCAGAAATGAGCAACGAAGAAACTCTCCACGAAATTGAAATTCTTTTACCGAAATTCATCATCCTTCGAGAGTTTCTTCCATTATTATTATTTATTGCGAACAATTGGCATTTTTTTCTCTTTCGTTCAGTGTTTAATTTGAAACAAATTATCTAAATGTGTAGTTGTGTGCCTAGACCAAATTTTCTCCGAAACACAAAGACGAAGTCTATTTTTTTTTATGTAATTGCAATTATCTTTTGATTATGATTTTATAATATTTATCATTATTACTTGAGAGATATACAAAAGGGGATTTTTACAAAGAATTTTATTAACATTTTATTTTTTTTTTGTACGAGTTTACTTATTGTTTTCTGTTGGTTCATGGGAACATTCTTGGGGAGTTATTTTTGTTTATTCTTTTTGATTTTTCTTATTATATTTTACTTTGGAGTCGGTACTTTCTTTTTGGATATCAAGATTTCACTTTCACGTCCACACTGCATGGTGCATGACAATTAGATTAGTGTGTTGTTGAGCACAAACAACGCTGTTCCAAACAATAGGCTAGATAGAAACAACACGCAAGAATACGTTCCATTCGGTCGAATCCAGTTTCCAGATACATATTGTAGATCCGTTCAAACTGCTGATGAGATATAATATTTTAGGTGTGTACAAAATAATTGCTCTAACGGGAACTGAGAAGAAGCAATTCGCAAAAGATTATGTGTATATAAGTATACCTTGACGTGTGCAATGCACGTCGCCAAATAACGGAAGATTAATTGCCCACTCGACTATTATTTTTGCGCCTTTACATATTTTACTTAATTCACTTAATTTATTTAATTATTTTTTTCTGATCGAATCGACAATTACGCGTAATTATTGTAATTAACGTTTCGATGGTAAACGCAATAGATATAATAAGGTAGGTAATTGGTGCTGCTTCTTTACTATTTCACACATAACTGTCTCACACTGTTACTCTTACCAATTGAAACACTTACAATAATTCATAAATTACATTATCTACGACATCAAAATTTAATTAATTGAATGAAATTCTTAAAAAAATCTGTAAATATACTTAAATATATATTCTAATTTTGATGCATGATCAAAAATGAATGTGCTGCTCTTATTAAATAAATAAATAAATTAGAACACAAAAGTTTACTTACTTGTTCTCATTTATTCTCAATGATCTGTTTATTAATTAATATTATATTAAATTAAAGATTGCATAAACTAGTCATTATGTAGAGTGGATAGAAATATAACTCGGTTACAGGATTTCCTTTTGCAGAAATTCATTAATTAATGTTTGTTTTGCATTTGGCTGAGTATAGTGAAACAAAACTAGTAGTTGGTTTAAATCTGTATTTATTAGAAAAATTGTATTTAGTATGCTAATCATACCTTTTTTTGTATGATGTAGTTTGTAATATTTCTTATTATTAACTTCAAAGACGAACTTTGCTTTGATTTCACAAAATAGGATAAAAATACAACTCGGTTATAGGATTTCCTTTCACAGAGATTTATCGATTATCGTTTGTTTTGCATTTGTCGGAGTGTATAGTAAAACTAGTTTCTGTTTTAAATCTGTATTTAAATGGAAAGGGCATGGCAGTGACACTGATTATAATCTTGACATAGAAAGTAGCAGAGGCGTAGTAGTGTCTGCAATCGTGTGTTGTTTAAAGAAGCGGCCAAGTGGAGGTTAAATAAGAGTTCACGAGTGGGTACAGTTATTGGGTCAGATTTCCAAGATCACGAGACCATTAATTGCTTTAAATACCCTACTTTCATTATCCTTTGTGTGCTGAGCGGAGTGCAAAAATAAAAATAAGTGGCGAAAAAGGAAAGGCGATCCTAGGAGTTCACTTCGAACGAGAGATATGACCGACCGGCAATTTGCTTTGAGGAAAAGAAAGAAGCATCACCGCCCCGACGAGAATATGCAAAACGATAGAACACATTTAAGTTACGATTGTTTGCAAAGTATAGAAATACTGTGTTTCATAAATAAATTACCACCCCGATGGCATTCGAAGATGTTTTTATTTGTTGCATGTATATTTACGATCTCCGCTCGGATCATTTTTCAATAAATCTGTATTTATGAATAGTTAATCATCATATAGGACGGAGTTAATGTCGGGGCCCTTGCGTTCATAAATTTTGCTTAGATAATCTATTAACGTACTAACTAGAGATAATTAATAACGTCGGACGTGTATAATCATTTTTATTGCCGCCCCAAACAATTCCCATCGGCTATTTTTTCTATCATCGTCTCTTCTGCATCGTGCCTTTCCTGCAATGTAACCAGATGCAGGAATACCCGATTAATGCACTTTCGTTCGCGTTACTCTCACTTCTCTTAATGGAAATTAATAATGGTAGTGAAAATAATCGCAGTGAAAATAATCTCCTTATTAATTAAGAACTTCGACGTTTACGCACACGTTGATTCTCATTATACAAGAATAACAACAACAACAAATCCTGTAATTTACTTTCACTTATAACACGCAAAGCGCTTTTCAACATCTAAACGAAGTTCGTTGTTTATTTTCGTTTTACTATTAGCCACTTTTAATGGCACCGTTCGTTGTTATAAGTAATTATCTTTCTATTGTCTAGGAATTGGCCCATAAACTCTCTAGGAGCTTTGATATGAAAGATGATCAGGCGCTGTTGGAGGGCGAAGGCGGATTGAGGCGACACCAGTCTATGCAAAGATTGGCTCGCGGTGACACCGGAATTCAGGATAGTCCTAGGGTCGTCCCAGATTCTGAAGGAAATCTTAGAGTCACCGTGAGGAAGACCAAACCGATCTTGGGCATCGCTATTGAAGGTGGCGCGAATACCAAACATCCTTTGCCCAGGATTATTAATATTAATGTAAGTATAATAACACTATAAAGAGGATAATTGTAATTTCATTGAATCGTACGAAGGTGAATCATTTATATGCAACCTACATATAAAAAATACATTTGTTTTCTACTGAGTCGTATTTCATAAAGAGCAAACGAAAAAAAAGTTGTGATGACTAATTGAAATGTTTTAATTATTTTTTTACCGCATAATTATATAATTTCATATTATTTAACATAACAATGACGTGTTAACTAATTATATAATATTAGCTAAGAAAAACATTTATAATTTAATTTCATTCTTAATTGGTCATCAAATGCATTCATTCGTTCAAATTCTATAAATGAGAAGATCTATTACTATAGCAAATCATCTCCGTTCTACTAATTTGATGACGCAAAGCGTATCATTTATTTGCATGTTATTAAAATAATTTAATAAAATATCTCTTGAATATAATATATTACATTTTATAATAGATAAATTGAGCAGAGAAATTCTAGAATAAATAAAATGAACCGGAGCATTTACTTCAACGCTTTTCAAGAATTTCGCTTTCTCAATTTAAATAAAGCCCAAACTTTCATAAATAGTTATCTTATTATTTATTTTCTAAACCTTCTCATATATCTTTGTACACATATTATAAATTTCGAATCAATAAATAAATCATATATATTAAACATAAAACAATATTTTCTAAATGCAATAATGAACTAATTCAAATATCGTATAGAAAAATAGTAGAACGGCGGATATATCCGCCTAACCTTGTATACTATGCTTATGGAAAATTGCATATTGCAATTGAGTTATCAAATTACGCCACGTGAAATTATTTCGTATGCAAAGGGATAAGATAATATCTCTATATTCCTTACAAGTTGTCAGTTATACTGAACTTCATTAACTCTGGTGTCAACAGATTGCATAATTTTATTTGCTAGAAGTTTAAAATTTGTTCTCATGAAAAAAATGTATTATAAATGCTTTTAATACAAATTATTTATTGCCATGTAACATAGAAAATGCATTGTCGATTTATCAAATAAGTTAACATTTTGTATATTGTAAAACGGATATTAGAACGTTTTAAATGTGTTTCTGATTAGATTGTTGTTTTGGTTGTAGGAAAATGGAGCAGCGTATTGTGCGGGCGGTTTGGAAGTGGGTCAATTGATTCTTCAGGTTGACGGAAATTCGGTGGAAGGTCTTCAACATCAAGATGTGGCGCGTCTCATAGCAGAATCTTTCGCGAGACGGGACCGCGAGGACATTGAGTTCTTGGTGATCGAGGCGAAGAAAAGCAACATGGAGCCAAAACCGACGGCTCTGATTTTCCTGGAAGCTTAACATTTGCTTAGCCTCCCCCCTAGTGACCCTCCGGGGCCCCTCACCGACTGAACTATCAAACTCAATGAACACACACATATCACTCGAACACACGGGTCACCATTGAAACCTTTGAATCGAAGATTTAAGTGCTTCAATGGTGCAGTAGTTGCAAAAGGAAATGTGTCCTTTATTTAGAGCTTGATACCAAATATAATATGCATTAAAACCATTAACAAAACGTTAAATCATTGAACAAAAAAAAAGAAGAAGATGTTAATTGTTGTGTACAGCTTTAGTGAATTTGAAATTAAATACTATAAGTATAAATAGTATTAAAAAAAATAATAAATAACGAACGCTTTCATTGTAAAACACTCACACACTAATGGTTTGGCTATGCATATTATAATAATTCTCGGTGAACTTAGCGAATACACTAGAAGGGAGGCACAAATGAATCTAAATATAAATATATATTTATTAAGCAATGTATAAATATATAAGAAAGTATATTTTAAAATACTATGAATTTATTATATACATATGTAAAATTTATTTTGTAAAATCGCAGTATTATATAATGAACATACTATACGTATATGTAATATAATATGGAAGAGGAGATCGGACAAAGGAACGATTTTGACATGGGAAATAATGAGCTGGTATAAGCTGTGCCAAAGAAATTACAAAACTGTTTTTCGCGTGGATTGGGAAAAGAAAATGTCGTCAAAAGCCTTAGAAATATAAATATATATTTGCGACCACTTTGCTTCTGGCTATGGCTAAAATGGTTGCTTGATGACGTAAACGAGAAGAAGTAACTGAAGAGGAATAAACTGTATAATTTGTTTGTATTTATTGTTTTTATTCAATGTTAATATAGTGATGTTGTTGTATAAAGATGAGCTGATGATGTTCGGGGGAGGACGGAAGAATCCATTAATGTTTGCCTTCACTGCGCGAATTTTTGCAAGCACTGTTATCATTATGTTTAATAAGCGAACGCTGAACGTGTGTAAATATTATTATTTTTTAGAATGTCTACAAATGCGTGATATAAAATTTTCAAATTAAAGAATTATAAAGAAAGGTGGCATTATTAGAATCGTTCACTTGCGATAGAGAAATCCTACAAAAATAAAAAACTACTGTATAAATAGTAACCTATTATTATTAGCTTTCTTTAGATTCATTTCGTTTCCTTACTAATAATAGATTATTATTTATGAAGATTGTGAACTGGTTAAATAATATTTAAACAAAAAATAATAATATAAATTTAAAAAAAAAATACAAAAACCGTTGCTTTATTGTATATAGTGATAGGGTGCTAGAAATATTATATTTAAAATATGTGGTATAAAAAGAAGAGATTAAAAAGTTGAATTTCGTTATTTGCTGTTGGAAATTTAAAGATGAAAAAGGTTGTTAAAAGTTGCAAAGTCAATTGAAATAATGCAATAATTTATTCATGTTTTATATTAGTGATGTTACTGTAATCTTATGTATTTGCCAGGAATATATGTTTAAAGTTTATTCTACACGAATTCACTCTAAAAACAAAACAAAATCAAGTATACTTAGCTTTGTAAATGAATAGTGTAGATGTTTTGTTTTATAATCTGTAGTGGAATTAATCTGTAATCATTTCTAAGTACTGTTTTTATTAGAGACTATTGATGACGTTGCAACTTTTCCTTTGCAGAACTGGAATGTTATTATTATTATTATTATATTTATGTTGTTTGAAGGTAACAAGTAAAAAAAAACAAACTGAAATACAAGTGGCTTATATTCGTTTATAGGTTCGTTGCAGAAATATTTAAAAGAAAAATACAGGAAGAGAAAAACTGATGATATATTATTGTGTATTCAGATGAAATAGTGAAATGTAACCGGTGGAAACACGGGGATGGAAGTTATATTTATAATTATTACTAATAAATGAAAAATCAGGGAATATTAAGATAATCCATTTGAAAATGTGTTTGATTGCAGAAAGCAAGAGCCATTGATTTATTATTTAAGGTACGAAGTGCCAAATAGTAAAAGTAATTTCATAAAAAAATAAATTATAATAATATGAGAAACAAGTAACACACACACACATTAAATGATGAAACGACGAAACGCACTTTTACATTCACATTACTTAAATGAACAAAATGTTAAAAATTTTGCTGTTGATTATTTATATATGATGATGATGATGAAATAATGAGAAGAAAAAAAGAGATGATGTATCGTTTAAACTATATTGTAAATAATATATACATTCTTAATCACAGGACTCTATTTCATAAAACACAGAACTTTGTATGGGGACGTTGAAATTTAGCTTTTTACGTTGAGGGTATTTATGATTTTTTTTTTTTCGTATTTGAGTTGATTCAATATTTGTAATTGAAGATATGTTAAAATGAAATGTCACATAGTTCTATATTATTTTACACAAATTCATACGCAAATTTTAATAAAAGAATATTATTGCAATATAATACTGATTACTTTTGATTTCAAACCTTTTTTAATATCTATCCTACCACTTTTCCAGTAGAGGTTATTTCCAACTCATTTTTCTCTACCTCTCACTTCTCTCTCTAGCTAGAAACACGATTGTTGGTAAGCCAGTATCAGCTAAATTAAATGAAGTTATTTTGTTGATCAAATAATTAAGTTGAATCATTAAAATATATTTTATCTTAGGTGGTAAATCTGCTTTTTCATAACCCTTTATATGTAAGAATATAACACATTTTGTTTAGTTTTATGTACATCACCCTTTGGTCATAATTTTGAACTTTTTTATTCTTTAAAATTGATCTATATAACTTTTAGTTATTGTCATTTTCAAATCAGCATTTTTATTTTGTTTTTCACATTTTCTTAGTTTTGATCACGAAATTATTTTTAGTAAATGCCAAAATTATCAATTTACTTTATTTTTGTATTTTTTTTTAAAGTATTCATTCAGTTAAGTATTCATCTTTTATAAAAAAAATGTATTTTCAACACTGCTACAATTGTAAACCATCAAATACAGTAGATCCTCGCACGAGCAACTCGCAGAACGAGTATTTCGCTTAACGAGCTAAATGAATTGTAAGAAAAATGTCTCGCTTAACGAGTGATATTGAGAAGAGAAGTCCCGGAAGGCGCGCATTCTAATGTGTGTTTCCTGTTAATAAAAAAACACAGTATGTACGCTTTTTTGTTTACAAAACATTAAAAGTATAAAGAGACCTCCGCCAAGTTCCAAAATTGATACAAGTAAAATAAACAATTATAAACTAACTACACCGTGCGAATTGGAAACAGTTCCTAGTGTTAGTAGTCATTCTAGTTGCATCTTAGTGTTGTTTATGATCACAAAATTTCCAAACTAGTATTCAGACATGATATTTATGTGTTTTTGTGTGCAACATTTAATAACACTTACATATTTCCGAATATAAATCCAAAGAATAAAAATAACCAGTGCAAAATCATTAAAAATCGAGACCAAGTTATACTTTTTTTTCCGGCAAGGAACGCATTATAGTAATTTACATTAGTGTATATGAGAAAACGTATTTCACTATACGAGCAAAAATCCGGAAATTTTGAAACGGATTAAACTCGTTAAGCGAGGTTCCACTGTAATTAACTAAATATTCTCTAGTTATTGAGAAGATGTAAGGTATAAAATGAAAAGAAAAAAGTTTATATAAGAACATTTTAATTAGGTATATTTTTATATTTATACATATATATGTAATGTATACATAGTTAAAAACTAAAATGAAGTGAAATATACATTCTGGACGAAATATGTTAACATAAAAGCTAAATAAAATTAGAACATACAATCATAAATAATGAAATAAGACATTGTTAAATGTGTAAGAATATGTCGAGTTCATGCACTCAATTTATTATATTACTTCCCTACACTACTTTATAATAATATCAGGTACCAAATACATTAATTTTTTATAAGTATATAAAATAGTATAATATAGAAATAGCACACAAATCATTCGCGCCGCCGCATTCTCACCTAAAATAAATAGTAAATAAAAACAAAACATGTCAACAAATTACGAAATACAATAAAAAATAAAACGTGATGATATCTATTCGAATAAATACAAAGGCTTTAAAGCTTTGCACACCGCAAATCGCTACAAGACGATGGTAACAATAGGAAACATGTAGTAACTTTTGTTATATAAAGATCAGTACATATATTTCGTATCAATCTGATATTTGCAACGTCTCTTTCAGAAAAGTGTGCGCTTAAAAATGTAATTAAAATAAATATTTAAAATAAAAATAATAAGGAACATTTTATCGTTTCTTTTCTTTTTTTTTCTCTCATTCATGTAGTCATGGATACAAAATGTTATATATTTTAGTTGTAGTTGTTGTTGAGATAATTGATATTACAGCACTCAGGTCCTTTACAAAGAAAACATTTCTAAACTAATTTTACTTGCAAGTTGAATATACTTGTTATGTATGTCAGGAATCCCTAAACGTTTATGAAAGAAAATAAAATCTTTGGCATACAATTTTTTTTAAATCAATAAAATATATTTTGGTAGAATCAAAATTATAACCGATTATTATTATTGTCTTGTGAATCTGTTTCAATTAAATATAAAATATAATTATTTAGTATGTAACATATGTACGTATTTATGTTTGAATGCATCGTTTCTTAATCGTGGCAAGAATAGAACTGTTTCTGTTGCTATTACTTAAGTCTTACTAAATAGTTTTAATGCAGAAATAAATTAACTTATTATTTTATCGATAACAAAAAATGTACATTATATATATTTACAACTTATCTAATAAAATAATATCAATAATAGGAATAACCATCTTGCAATAAAAGCTCCATGAACAAAATTTTACTAATCAAATGTTTTCTGGTGTAAAGTGCCAGTGCAATGTCTACTAAACTATTCTAATTTTAGTAAGTATAAAATGACTTCAACTTCTTGATTTTTGTTTGTTTGTTTTTTTTTTTCATAATTTTAGATATTTTTTTCCTTACTAAGTATATAAGATTAATTTACGTGTAATAATACTATAAAAATATGTAGATGTAGTTGTTGTCTTCATCCCAGAAGTTATGAGCTATAGACGTTCAAATTTTGTGTGGACTAGACGAGTGACATTTTTTTCCTTTATACTAACACTAAAAAAATATTTCAGTCTGTTGCATTAGTAACAAAATGGAGTATTTAATATCCTATTTACATTTTTTTTTTGTTTGAAATTGAAAATATTAAATTAATATTGATAAATTTATAATATTATCGGAAATTTTCTACGAACATCTTACTTTAATAATAACATAGATTATTTTAAATTTTTTAATAAATAGTTTCAGGGTTTATTTTTTCTTTCTTTTAGCGGGTTTTTGTTTTGGAAGAGATTTGATCTTAAATATCTTCTTTTTGTGCAGCTGCTTTTATTTTACTTGGACCAGTCCAGGAAACTTCCCTTTTATGTAGAATTGAGCCTAGTCTGTAAAACAAAAATGTTCCAATATACACAAAATTTCTCTCAAACAAATAAAAAAAACAAAATACGATACGGAGGGTTTCATTTAGACTGGAACATTGCGCTCTGCCAAAATACTCCATTTTGAAAATAAAGTTATGTTTAATTTGGAGATATTTCAATTACATTGAAATATATATGTCTATGTGTGTGTGTTTGTGTGTTTGTATATATATTTTAGTTTAGAATATATATATTTTAAGGGAAACGAAACCGAGCAAAAAGAAACAGAACATAAATAAAGACGTGTGCATGAAGCGAACAAACGAAAAAAAAACTCTTTGGCTTGAAGGAATTGCTCATGAAATATTAGTTATTAATAGTAATAATAATAGTTGGCACTTAGGCTAAATAATCTTGATCGCAGCCGGAGTCTGTGCCATTGCTGGTCTGAATACTAACATATTTACTGCCACCACTTATGGAATCCGAACGTTCGATGAGCAAACACTCTTCAGGACATGCGACGTCTGATTGCACGGATGGCGCTTTATCGCCGTTCACGAAAACCTTCGTCGGCGTTGACAACGTGGTCAAGCCGTTTGGCACTTTGAAGCTGATCGAAGAGGAACACTTCCTGAATTGGTCGGGCAGCTGCATATCCAGTTGACCAGTGTCTTCTGTTTGTACCGAAGCCAGAGGAACATCGAGGCAAGGTGAGATGAGTCTTGAATTGTTTGCGAGGTACTCTACAATCTCGCTCGCTGCTGGTCGTTTCTTCGGATCTATCATCCAACAAGTCTTCAATAGGATTTCGCTGAAATAAATAAAATATTTAAATGTTGACACAATTCAAATTATTCCTTTCTAGTGCAATAGGATTAGACTTACAGTTGCGATTTAACTCCTTGTGGAATTGATAATGTGTTGCCAGCTTTAACGTAATCCAATACTTCGGCGTTACTTAACGCTTGAAACGGAAAACTTCCAAAAGTGATGATTTCGAATAATAATACACCGTAACTCCAAACATCTGATTTAGGTGTGAACATTCCGGATTCCAAACTCTCGGGTGACATCCACCTAACTGGCATCATTCCGCGTCTATTGAATTTGTAGTAATCGTTCTCGAACATCGGTCGGGTCAAGCCAAAATCACCTAATTTAACCACTCTCTGTTCATTCAACAGACAATTCCTCGAAGCCACATCACGATGCACGTACTTTAGTTCAGCTAAATAACTTAACCCGCGGGCCACGTCCAATGCCATCGACGTTAACTTTTTGCTTGAAACCTCATCACTTTCATCCACGTTATTACCATTGACTAGATGCCTACGCGCTAATAAATAGTTCTTTAGATCACCGTAAAGCATGAATTCCATGATCGTGTAGACAGGTTCGACTTTTGTGCAAACGCCTATTAACTTCACAATGTTTTTATGATCAAACCGTTTCATCACTTCTGCTTCAGATAGGAAATCAAGTTTCTCCTCAGTCTTCGAGCCGACTTTCAAAGTTTTCACAGCAACCGGCGTCCACAAGTTGTTATCGGACAACCTCGCTTCACCACCGTAAACTGTACCGAAAGCGCCCTCACCCAATTTCCTATTCAAAACTATCATTTCCCGTTCGATTTCCCATTTGTCCAAGCCAGTATAGTCTGCACCTTGGACCAACAAATGTTGCAAACCTAAAGATTCCATGTACTTTGTTGTCTTATCGAATCTGTTCTCGTAAGTTTTCACTAAAACGACGATGACGCTTCCCAACAATATCACTAAGATGATCATCAAACTGACAAAGAATATTATGATGGCATTATCGCAGCTAACGTTGAAGAAATTTGAGACGAATTGCCATTTGCAAATTTCTGGATATTCTGTGCCATCGTCGGGCTTAGTCTTGCTCAACCACACTATAGCGCTTTTGTTTAACTCCAATCGACCACCGAGGATATCCGGAGATGATTCCGATATATTCGGAAAATATCGACCTATCAATCTCGATTGATTGTTGTACCACTGCAAAATGTTGATCATGGAAAATCTAGTAGATCCGCCGCGGAATTTTATTCGCCCGGAAACGCCGTTGAAATCTATATCCTTAATAATCTGCGTCAATTTGCTGCAAATCAATGAACAATTAGTACGAAAATAGATTAAAGCAAATCAAGCGGATCAATTACTTTGTGACATTGACCGAGTGCAGATCCGTTGTAGCTTCCGGATTGGTTTTCAGAAGTGTATCCAAAGCCAATGCGTACGTCCACACTCCGTCGTAGGCATATCCTGCATAACTGGATTGGTCCAATCCTGCTGCATGCCTGTATTTTTCGCGCCATGCTCCGACAGTTATATTCTCTTGCATAAGATCATTGTCGTCGGAGAAGTATGCATGTGTTATGGCAAAATAACCATTTATTGCCTATAATAAAAAAAAGTTAGAAATGACATTCAAATTACTATATAGTTGAATTATTCATGAAAAAATAAATAATTTATTTGCCGCAAATAATATTAATATTATATATATTATACCTCGATCATGGTGGCCGTTGTGCAATTGACACTTTCATTGTTGTGTTGATTGAAGTACGTAGTATCATACCAGGTGTTATTTAACCAAGTAGGTAAGAACCATACGTAGCCTTCTTTGGCGGTCATTCGTAATTTAGATGCTTCGCACATGACGTGCCTGGCAACTTGGCCGAAGACGTCAGCTATGATGATGCGGGCTCTTTTGCGTTGCAAATCTTGCAAATACTGAAATGGAATAAGTGGAAAAAAATCAATCAATTTACGTGCACTTCGCTTTCCACAAAAAAGAGATAAATTTTTAAAAGCAGACACCCACCCTATTCATGGCGTCTCTGTCTCGATCCCTTGGGAACTTTGTGTTAGAGATGAACGTTACACCATTGCCTTCAAGCATGTCCTGCATATGCGAAATATATTCCGTATATTTTTGACCGTCTTCTGTCAATGCTGCGACCCGCTTCCATCCGAGGCTCTTCAGAAGATCCAAATATACGTGCTGATAGTGCTTGTTTTCTCCTATTGTCCTGAAGAAATATGGATATTTGTCGCTGTCCGAGAAGAATGAACCCTCGGCACTGTACGATATGAGCATTGTCTTGTAGTACTTGGAAACACCCTGCAAAGGTTCGACCGTTTCTGAGCATGCCGGCCCCAATACGCCGACCAACTTATCGTACACCGTTGTTATGTAATCGATAAACGTTTTCATAACTTTGTCTGCACGGCATTCGCCGTTTCCAACGAGCAGCTCAAATTTGTAATTAGGAAGAACGGAGGTATTCGCATTGATTGCTTCGACGGCCATCAGGGCTCCTTTCACGATACCTTTACCGGTGTAGGTGGAGCCGTGGATGGGGAATATTCCGCCGACGTAAATGGTCTGCTCCACTTTCGGTACCCAAAGATTCACAATGTTTTCGTTCTGCCTCAACCATTCGCATGCGATCTCCGGTACAGTGGAGTTGCCCATTCTCTTATTGTACAAATTAATCAATGAGCTGTGAAGATCCCTATCCAGGAAATTCATCTCTTTCAAAATGTCGTAGGCGTTCGGCGCAGATTTCTCTATCACTTTCCACGCGATTTTAACGGATCTCCTCTTCTCGTAGAAACAACTATTGTATTGGGTCTCGTTTGCGAACTCGCATCGCTGCATGGTCACCGTCACGTAATCCCCCGGATTGAAAATCACTTCGCTCGGCGTGTAGCTCATAATCATAAAGGACTTTGGTACATTCTTCGTTTTATACTTCTCGAGCAAATCATCAGACGCTTTCTTCAAATTATCACCGAGCCAGAGTACTTTCACGTAAATGTTCATATCTTCGATATGTCCGATCACCGATTTAGTTGATTCAAAGTCCGGCGCCAATAAAACCGCACATCGCGCAGATCCTTTGCATTTCTTCGGCACATACCATCCGTTTTCGCATCGGCTATCATTGCAGAAATAACTGTAAATAATAATCGTTTTAGTTTCATGATGTACATGTAAGGAAAGTCGAAAATATACCTGTTTGTGGTACCATTGATAGCAGTGGCGTCCAGCATTCTTTTATAAGCATCATCGATTTCAAAGGCGGATGCAAATTTAGTGTTCATGAAGTACGTCCAGGAGAATTGCTCTCCAGACCATTTGGAATCGAATTTCTGTATGGGTTGCGTCAGATCTTTAGGTACAAACCATCCGAATCGACCGGATGGCAGCATCGTACCCAAATCTTTGATGCAATTATCTAGAGAGGCCTTTTGGAGATAGTTGAGGGGCATCGGCACGTCAAGATTTATGATCGATTGAGGCAAAATGCTGCAAAAATAAATGCCCTATGTGAACGAACTCTGACATAGAAAATATTGAGGAAAATATATTTGTCTTGCTAAAATTAAGCAGCAATCCGTCAATCAATCATGCATTTCTATTTATTATTACTCCATTAATTAATTGATTTACTTACTCATCAAATGATCCTTTGACTTCTTTAATACAGTTCATCCTGTCTAACAGGACGTCCGTATCGTAATCCTTGTATTCCACTATCTTAACTCGGGAATATCCAAGTTTCTCTTGAAGCAATATTCGGAATATGTGGGTGGACAACTGATGCGTTATCCTCGGGGACACCTCCAAGGTGATATCCAAAATCTGCTTGTTTGGACGAAACGTCTGCGATATACCTACAAAAAATCACTCGTCAACATCATTTCAGTATGTTCTCTCTATTTCAATATTTACTGCTCTTTTTCAGACATTGTGTCCACTCCTTCGAATCCACTTCTGTAATCCACGTCCACGAACAAAGAACTACCAATAACAATTCTATATTGCTCCACGCTCTTCCTCTTCTTTTTGCAAATATTCGAATCATATTGTTGACTGATCATCTGAAAAAGAAAATGGCATTCTTTAGATAAGATTTAATTTGCGAAAACAACAATTGTAAATCGTCCAGAGCGTTTGGGTCATAAAATGATGAAAGCCCGAATCGCACGGCGAGTTCTCAAAGTTTAATTGCCAATAAATATTAGGCGGCAAATAAGGTCGTAAAGTCGTTAATACAAGGTACATCCCCCTCTGAATAAAGAGAGCGAGAAGACAGACATCAAATAAAAAAAAGAGAGAGTGTGAGTATCAATATATATGTTAAAGTCGTGAACAATAAAATCAAGTTTGTGTACACATTGCGATGTGTCTGGCTTTTATGTTTTGGCGTTACTGCATCGAGGGACATTAAAGGACACTCCACTCCAATCTGGTCCAAATTTTCGCAATAAAACGGTCCGTCCGCTGCGTAGGTTGTATTTACCAAATGAAAAGGCATTGTATTTTCAAGGATTTTACCCCAAACATCAGACCTCTCTCTATGTACACTCTTTTAGACATCATCGCATACACGCACGTACACACCAATCCATTTCGATGGGGGTGCTAAAAATAGGCGGTCTGAAACATTTCACAAGGCAACAAAAATAAGTTTCATGCTGAAGAATTTTATTTTTTCTCATTGACACCTTACATTTTGCTCCCTATTAATAGATCTCATTAACACTTAATTTATTAAAAACAAATGTCTTTGTATTTGTACTCGTGCGAAATTTTCCTTTTTCTCCGTTCATTTATGTTCTATTAACAATGATTTGCTTAACTACCTGCAAATCATTTCGGACATCTCTTATAAATAAGTGATTGTTGCGTAACATTGGGGTGGACCTTACAATAGTTTCGAAAAGTCTTGAGCAGACAAAGAAATGTTACATTAAAGTGCACCGCATCTCGGAACTGCAACAATGCGCAGTTGAGCTATCACATTCTGTAATCTATGTGGATGCATTAAAAATATAGCCACCCCATTTGAGCTTTCCCTTTTCAAACTTTCACCATTTGTGGCATCCTGGCGTTTCCGTAAATAGTACAATAACTATTGATGTTTGCTTCGAACATCTGGCTTTTGTCACGCGAACCTTATCAAACGTTATTTGGAATTACCCAGATCCATCTATCCATTACACAATAACCCTCGTAGATGACTGGAAGCGATTAAATTAACTTTAATACTAACGGAAAAAAAATAAAATTCTTAAAATTCTCCCACTTGATGCGCGCATTTTCCCCCTGTGTCTTTGTTTTTACTAGAAGACTCGATATGGCTGTAATCTACTTCAGTAGTAAACAAAATAAACAGTTTTCCTCTTTCCGTCCACTTAAAAAATTAAGTGAACGCATAAAAATGTCAAAAATAATTGTTTTCTAAATAAACATCATTACAAACTACAAAGAGCCGAAAAGCGTTCTAGGAAGGAAATTCGATATCCTCGACCCCAATTCCATGAATTCAAAGAAAATAATACTTCCCTGAAAACTGAAATTAGAAATAAATAACATTCAATAAATGTTGAAATGCTTTCTTTTATAGTGACATCAAAATTATTTCCAACAAAATCGATACGACTCGACTGTTCGTGCAAAGTATGTATTATTATATATAAATTTGATAAATTACTGTTACAATTTGTTCAAAATGTGGAACGATTCAGTAATGTAACTTCAGCTAATTACTAGCTCGGAGGGTTGATTTATTTACATCCGCTTTGATAACTTAACCCAAATACTGTTGCCTTCTATCACTATGATATGTTAATATAACATTTGCATTTTCTATGAATTAAGAAACTGTATCATTAAATAAATTGATGGAAGTCGATAATTAGCATAACTTATTAATTACACCCCGTGTTTCTAAATGCAACCGACTGCAAAGAAATTTAGGTTCCCCCTTGTTCCTAAAAAAAAACAATGCTTCGCTTCTTATGCTGTTAATTCCACGAAACCGAGCACAAAGGGAAATCAACGACCAAAAAAAAAATAATGAAAAAGACACGTTAACAAGAAAATTGTTAATCAATGGACTTACACAATATTTCTTATGTAACGAAATAGCGTACACGACAACAAAAAAATATTCAGTAACAGTTATTTAAAACATTCAAGCAGCATTTTCCATGCGCTACATAAAGTGCACCATAATCAAGACGCGTTACACTTGTAACAATCACACAGTTTTCTTTTTGTTTTCACCGTCGTGGCGTTCCTTTAAATTGCAGTGATTAAAACATAATTATGTCAATGAATGGAAAAGTCGACTTTTCTTTCGATCTAATTACCTTCAAACCATAAACCCAACACGATTAATCATTGTTACTCCATTCCATGCTTTGATCTTAAAAGAAAAGGTAAAATAGATTCAGATGAGAAGAAAGAAAAAACAAATCATCTTCAACATTAATCAAATATGATGAACGTGTGTGTCCTTCTGGTGATGCTTGAACTCGAAGTTTTGATTCTCGGAAGAGCGGAAACGTGGATAATTAGAAATAAGCTGCAGGAAGCGGTAAAGAATCCGGGATGCCAATAGGTCAGAGGTTAGCAAAAGACAATGCGAACAAAGAGCGTAAACAAAACAGGAAACGTATTATTCCCGGGTCGTCTCTGCGAAGAAATTTCTTGCAGGTATTCAAACAGGACGAGCTTTAATTACGCCGCTTGTTTATAACTTAATTACTACGTAATTTTAAAACGAAGAATTTTCGTTCCTCTTTTTGGATTATATTTGAATTATTTCTCTGTTTAATGGCGCAGTTAATTTTGTTATAAAAGCAATGATAATTACGTCGTAACTCATTCGACGACATTCATTTGATTTCTCGGTAAATTTGACCGGACAAAGTCAGATTTCAAGTATGAATTCAATGTGTATTATTCCCCCCTTCGCGAAACACGCATCTCGAAAGGTGAACGTATTATGGATAATTGTGCTGCAGGTCAACAGCACGTTTATGCGAATGTTATGATTCACGGGGCTCGTGTTGTTTTATTAAATTCAGTTTCATTCAGAATCTAACATTAATGTAACATTAAGTAATTGTTTGAAATGAATTGGAGAAATGGTTATTATTTTATTTTCGTTAATTAATTGCGGTTGCGACATTTGACAAAAAAAATAACAACAAATGTTTTATTTATTAATTTGTTCATCATCGCAGATAAACACGTAATGTCGCAATGTTTTGTAGCCGCAGCCGCGGATCGATTAAGATAAATAAATTTGCTGCAGCTTTCTAAAGTTATAATCCCGGATTTCTACGTTTAAATACGCTCAATGAATTGGTTTATGGAGGAAGTAAAGAAAAAAATGATTTCGAAGACGACGTGGTTTCTCTAAGATTTGTGATATACTGTTATTGATTCTGGATGAGTTTAATAACATAACGTGTTGCAATATCATTAATGGAATTGTGTATTAAAAATAAATTCGAAGCAAGTGAAATGCTCGTAATGATTTCTTTCTGGCGTCACGTCTGGTGTTTGTAAATAAACGCGATATTACGGTCAGTCGGTGAATATCGTGTGGATAAAGCGAAGGAATGAGTGTGTTTTGTTATGTATTTTTTTTGTTTTTTAAAGGATGATGGAATAATGATGCTTAGACTTACGACAAAAACAGAAAAAATAAATAAATCCTCCAACTTCGCCGCCCAGATTGTTGCTGTTGTTGTTTATTTCACGGTACACTTGGAAGCTTCCACTTGACCACCACAGCACACGGAATACCACAAAGAACAAAAGAGTAGTGTTGAGGAGGGAAACAACACCGATGGGGTCAAATACGATTGTATCGGAAGTCAATTAGAGGTGGATGCACCGGGAGATTCGGACACGCAAACTATGGTCGATAGTCGATTGCTGAATGGATGGGTCAAATGTTTGTAACAGAAAGTTATTGTTTACGTTGGTCGTGGAGGTGTGTATTTACGACTGCCTCGACTACTGTGAAACAACATACAGCGTCGAGACCGGTTTTGAAACTACTGACGGCGGATGCAGAGAATTCTTCGAACGGTGCCCCCTAAAACATTCCACGCAATGTGCAACCCTCCGTCGCGTTCCTACTATGCCAGGCACGTATTGGTTGAGAACCTCCGCGCTAAAGCCCTACCGTCCTCGACATAGGGTTCGATACACACACAGAACGCCGCACATATCCATCCATCCTCCATCATTCCTCTCCCTTCTCTCTCGCTCGGTTTTCCCTCAAGACTCACACACTTTACACCAAAGGTACAGTATACTAATTTACGCGCCAAGCCGAGCCGAAGATGAAAGATGGAAGAGGCCGAAGAAATAGACAAACGGTGAAAGGAGAAAACGAAGAGAAAAAAAAATCGAGAAGTAGGAGGAGAAGAATGAGGAACGAACGAACGGCATATAACTAAAAACCCTTCCATTCTCATTCACGCATGAATGAAAATACCCTTTACACGCGCAGAGGACTGTGGAGAGAAACCTAATCGGTTTTAAATATCTCTCTTTCTCTCCTCCAAAATAAGCCAAGAATGAGATGAATAATAAGAAGAAGAAAAAAAAAACACGTATGGACACAGAGAGAAAGAGAAGATCTTTAGACGGAGGCTATAAGAAGCCCCATTAAATCTAATTCCATTCTCCTTTACTTTTTTTGCCTTTACTCCTACGTGATGCATTCTATTTTATTTAATATTACTTCTGCCCATTTTATGGGTGACGCCAGAAGGGTCGATACATTCAGTAGCGCCACTCACGGAAAGTCAAACCCTCTTCAACAAACCTATTTTTCGTCCATTTAATCCAACAATTCTCACAATATATTCTTTGAATCATTTAAAATTTAGAAGTTAGAGCATCATAAAATACAATACCCGATGCGAATTCCCCAAAATCTGCTTTACAATGAATTAGTTTACTTTAATTAATATTATTGCAGACCAATATTACATATTGGTCTGCAATTGTTTATATAATTGTTGTATTAAATGTTTATTACGAACTAAAATTAGGAGTATATAATTTACTTAAACTAAATTTAATAAATTTAACTTTCCATCAGCATTTATATAATAAATGAACACGTGGCGCACTTACTATTAATAAAATTAATTGAATTGAAAAAAAATATTTTTATGTAGATTCTAACGAAAGATCAAAAAAAGTACTCGTGCGTTGCATTAATTGTTAAAAAATATAAAAACAATTTTATTTATTTTTTTAAACCGTATTTCGTGTATTGTTTTTGTATATAGTTTGCACAAGCCGCAGACAATTGTTGCATAAATACAGTTTCCGAATAAATGCAAATAGCGAATAACAATCTACGTTATTAACCATAGAATCAATAAACGGAGGTTAAATAAGCCAAAGTAAACAATAAAACTCGTGCCGCAAACACGCAATTGTAATATACTTGAAATGATGTCCTGAAAAACAACTTTACTTGTGTATTCACAGCCTATAAGTTTGTATCGTTTTAAATATATGATTCTATTATCTACAAATATATGTAATAACAATTTTGCTTTTTATTCACTTCAATTATAAATTAAATTTGGGTACGAAAAATGGACTTTGTTGATTATCAAATAACTTTAAAAATTGATGATGATGTTATTATTTAAAGTTGTGAAAATGGGTTTTCTGAACTCGTTTATTTACTTTTGTAAAAGCAACAAACTTGTCGCTGGAATATTGGAAAACGTGTATTAACTTTTTGAAATAACAGTGACACGTTCACAATAATATACAAAGAATGTCTGTGAAGTTTATTTTATGCAGGAATGTCTTTGGTTTATTTTATATGAATGATATTTATAGTATGATTACCCTTTCAGTGACTGCGTATTAAAACTTAACAAGATCCTTCTTATTAGAAAGTATAAATCACAACAATATTTTAAATTAAATAAGAAATATTGTTTCACTGAAAATGAAAGTTGATGCTATGCTTATAAAAAAAAAGGTAGCATTGATGGACATGATTATCTTCATAGTTATCTTCAAGGGTTCCGTGCATGTTTGAAGTTAAAATTCGATATTCAAACTCTCTTATCTCGAGCAATCATTCACACATTTTTCTAAGAATATTGAATTATTAACATATGTTCAAAATTAGAAAAATGTACATTTTCAGGCTTTTACGATAAATGAATGTTATCCAAAGTGAAACAACTATTATTAATAAACCAATTAAACGTTTTAAAAAAGTCACCTAATTAAAATGCCGGCTTATTACTGAAATTCTTTCAAAATTATAATTACTGCGGTTAATTAGGCAATTAAAATTTTAAGAAATGCACGTTTTTTTTTTGTTTTGTTTATGTAATTTCATTTATTTATATCGCTTACGATAATACGTTTTGAGCCAAAAGCGAAATATTTATGCTTCGCATTGAATTGTTATTGTTTGAGAGAGGAAGATTAAAGATGCGTTTCCATTCTGACAAGCAAAAGTATATAACATGTTACGTACGTAACCGATAGTGAGATATCATCACGCTCAAAGTTTATTAAGATACGACCGAACAACATGATCTTATTTACTCTTTAATGAATGAACGGATTATGCAAGCTTATGCAAGTTAACGCATTAATTTACTAAAATAACTGGTTTCGACACCGCACAATAAAACAACAACTTTATACGTAAAATCAAAATTCAATATTGTTATTAATAAATTGAATAGTTAAATCAAATAACGTTACATAATAACAGAATTTAAATTTTAAATTTTCGTGTCTTTTTCTCTGTCAGATTGAACGTCAAAATTGATTGTCATTTCATTAAGGTTACAAAAATACATTTTAGTTATTAAATTCTGGATTTTAGATTAGTTTAAGTAGTGAAAATACGGAATTAAGATTCATGGTTTTCATTCCTCGTCAAATTGTGAGGTTGAATTAATTAAAAGTTTCGGTGAGAGCGTTAGAGCTGACAGGACCCACCGACAACTTTTTCCAAAGCCAACTACCACCGACAGACCTGAATCGTTGAACCCATCCATGGGCGTAGTTCGCCTCGAAGAGGCTCAAGGATCCTCTCCGTGCAACGAACATTCTAATTTAAATCGTTTAGGTCCTTCGAAAATAGTAAATAAGTAAGGAAAACATCATTTAATTCAACCGCAATTACCGGCCGAACAATGGGAGCATTTACATGAACAACGCGTTTGCATTATATTTTCTTTAATTAAGAGTTACGACCTCCTTAATTCGAATCAAACTCGAATGTAATCTCGAAATAATTCAATGAAAACGTGCCACCAAGTAAAATATGCAGTTTCTGTGCGAGTTTATATGCTCGGTAAAGTATTAGCCACGCTAGAATTTAATTAATATATAAAATATTTAACGGGGGTGCACTTCGTTAAATTATGGTAACGAATAAAACGTTTGTAGCTCAAGGAGCAATAAAAAAAAGGAAATATTAAAATATTCCGAATCCCAGAAGGAAAAGGACATAAAAGCCATATTAAGTTAGTCAATAAGACTTGTACAGTTTTGTTTTTATGACCGTACTACCAATAGAAGGCTAGATCAAAATAAAGGGCTATTACTATTTAATTCCATGGTATACATATTTTTAGGGGAAACGTCGACAAATAACATATTGTCTCCAATAATTTATTACAATGTAAATACATCGGTTAGTATTATTTTATTTTTGTTAGGAAATTTTCCAAAACAATCGTTTAAATAAAATTAAACAAATCAAATTATCATTTATTTTCAGAGAGAATAAATTACTTATTTTCCAATTACTACATCATTATTAACGATTTTCTGTATGCATTACTTTCTTCTTTCTACACTTTATTGCCAGTACGACGAGCAAGGTGCATAATAGAGGACATACCTGATATACAAAAAGGGAATAAATGAATAAGAATGATGTTCTGAATCGAGATTATCATGTAGACTTTTCGGGATTATTCACACTAGGCTCGATAATCAAACTAATCTTCCTTTTTCCTTGTGCTTTCATGTTTCGAACTGGATAAGGGGTGCATATATAAATGTACAATTCCGTACTATTTCTACATGAATATTTCCGGGCGCAGTGTGTAATGCATTTTTAAAAGAAACATGGATTTTCGATAAATAATTATCTATGGTAGAAAGTAATTGGATTTTCCTTTTAGTTTTAAATTGATTTTTAAATTAATTGCTTTCAGCACGTATGAAAAAAAAACTGTTAATGTTGATTTAAAAGAAAAATTAATTGGAACAAGGATAATTGCAATAATGTATTTATTATTATTATTATTAAATACTTTTTTTGTTATCCGCAAGATGCATGATATAATGATATAAGAGAGTATTGTTGTATGTTATAAAGCAAAACAATCACATTATTCTTACATTAAACACGACGTTGCACAACCGTAGTAAGATTAATATAAGTACTGTTTCGTAATATCAAATCATTTCCTAAACCGGATTTCCTTTTGGAAAACAAGACTTCCCTTATAGTTTTATAATGATTAATGCTTTTTCTACTCTTCTCAATTCTCAAGTTTGTTTTTTTTAGTGAATAGTCAAAGAAAAACTGTTAAAACTTAGATGAAGTTCATTCGCATCTTATGCTCGACCAACATAATTATGATTGCATTGAATACGTATTTAACAAGCCGGATTTCCTTGTGAGAAGACTTTCCCCATTACTTTTTAATGAAGACTCAAAACTAAGTTAGTTTTTAAAGTTTTCTTTACGAACTTAAGCTTTCATAGAAAAAAAATATTTATTTAACAGCTTTTTAATAAGAAATTAATCCAAATTTTAATATAGCATTTTTTTTATGATTACTTAAGTTTAGTCTTTAACATAATAAAGTATTAAAAATACATATGAAAGCTATAAAATAAATACTTAAATTTGTTTAGTTAAATTTTTAAAAAAATAATCCTAGGTGTGGTTTTCATATCGCTTTAGGGTTACGAATGGCCCATATAAATGGAATTAGGACCGTCTGGTGAGAGTAATACATCCAAATATTATATCTCGACTATTATAGTTGACATGCACAGAACATACGAAGAACACGTGTTAAAAGAGTGAAGCGATA